TATTGTTTTCGATAAAATGGTTATGGACAGACTTTCACTCTTCTTCATCGTAAAGTTCAGGCTAGTTAAATGGTTTCTAGCAAAGTTCCATCAAGTGCAGATTCCGGTGGACTTGATAATATCTGATCCTACTTTAGCAGAAGGGTCTTCACGCTACTAATAGGTCTGTCCAGAAATGGCTCCCTCCACCAGCTGATTTCTTTAAATTTAATGTCGATGGTGCAGTCAAAAAGGATGGGATGACGGGCAGCATTGGGGGTATCCTCAGAAACCATAACGGTTTCGTTTTAGCGACGTTTTCAGAAAGCACAGGGCCAGGGCCACCCCCTCTAGCAGAGTTGAAAGCAATTAGAAAGGCTGTCGACATTTTCTACTCCTCTGTTTGGGCTTCAAAGGGCAGATTAATTTTGGAAACTGACTACAAGAATGCAGTGGAGTGGGTCCAATTACCCAGTCTCTCTCCGGTGTTTTTTAGTAATTTAATCAAGGAAATTAAGTCTTATGTAATGTTCAGGGGTTTGGTAGTGCAGTTTATTCCTAGGTGTTGTAATTGGGAAGCCGACAGGTTAGCTAAGGCAGGGATTGGCTAAGTATTTGTTGTTTTGTAAAGGCTTATAATGTATGCTTCTGTTATTAATAAATTGAGGTACTCTTTTCCTCCTTCCGCTGGTTGACCTTTTCCTATTCGAAAAAGTCAACTACGAAAGAGGTTTTTAATGAGACCTCCAACTTCTATAAAAAAAAAGCTATTAAGAAAGGCATAGACATTTTCTATCATCAGATTGGGCTATGAAGGGAAGACTGATCTTAGAAAGTGACTGCAAATCTGCAGTAGATTGGATTTTGTTGCCTAATTCTGCTCCTATTTTCTTAAGTTCCCTTGTTTTGGATATTGTGTCCTTAGTTTTAGAGAGGGCAATTATTATTAGATTGATTCCTAGGGGTTGTAATTGGGAGGACGATAAATTAACTAAGGAGGGGATCAGTTGATTGTATGGGTATTTTTCTAGGGAGCTTTAAGGATTTTAGTTTTAATCTGTTGTCCTAAATGTATTGGTGTATTTTATTGTAATAGTTTCTCTATATAATAAATTGAGGCACTCTCTTCCTCCTTCCGCTAGTTACTCTTTTCTAGAGTCAACCAAGAGGGAGGTTTTTAATGAGCCATACTATTCCTATAAAAAAAATAGAGATCTTCCTACGTCTAGAAGGTGTCTATTTTTTCTCTCTACTACCCCATTATGTTATGGTGTGTTAACCAATGAACTAATATGAACAATCTCTTTTTCCTTGAAGTATGATCCTAAAGCCTTACTAAAGTATTCATTGCCATTATCAGTATTGAGAATTTGGACATGACTTTTAAATTAACTCTCAATCATATTACATAAAGTTTTGAAGATTTCAACGGTGTTAGACTTATCTTTCATTTGGAAGGTCCAAGTAGTACTAGAGTGATCATCAATAAAGGATACTAACCATCTATATCCATTAATATTTTTTTTACTTCAGAAGAGCACTGTGGATGATAGAAAAAGGTTGTGAGGGTTTGTAATTGGATTTTGGACATATGTTTCGCAAGCTGATAGATTCTATCAAAAAAGAACTTAGGATTCTTATTAATGAACAAAGTGGGAAATATTTTTACAAGATAAGAAAAAATTGGGTGACCTAATGTATAATGCCATAACTTAATTTTATTTTAGGAAGAAGTGGAACTAGTATAAGGTAGAGAATGGATTGAGATGTGCAACTTGAATAAAGTTGTCTTTTAGGAGTAATCTCTCCCTTACCCCGTTGCATATGGGAATAGGGTTTTGTTGTTGTTGTTGTTGTTCTCCTTTGAGGAGATAGTGTCCACCGCATAGCCTAGCATTGCTAATCACCTTCCTTGAGTCCATTGCTTGAAATTCACATGGATTTAAATAAAATTCAGTGGAATGATTAAAATCAGTAGATAGCTTGTTAACAGACAGAAGGTTGAATGTTAAATGAGGAACGTAAAGGACATAATTAATTACAGGGTCCTTAGTTGAATTGTGCCAACTCCATCAATTCTGGATAGAGATCCATATGATGTTTTTACTTTGGAGAGTGCTAATCTTTGGCAAAGTTGGAAACGATTTGGTGTCAATTGTCATATGGTCAGATGCCCCAGAGTCTACAATCCAAGTGATAAAGGTGGTGTTGTAGGCAATATGTGCAAAAGAACACTACCTTGGTGAGCTACAAATCCCAGGTTTTGATCATTCGATGGTTTCAATTGTCTAAACATTTTCTGTAATTCTTCAACTTGTTCTCAGCCTTGTTTGCTAGGTTCTCTCTTTGCTGCCTCTTTCTATTGGGCTTCCAGTCTGTTGGTTTGACATGGAATTTCCAGCATTTCTCCTTCAAGGTATCGGTGATAGTGTTTTGGGTAGATCCAAAACTGATTTCTAATGATAAGGATGAGTTTTGTAGATTGAGAACCTAATCTGATACTATGTAGAGAAGAGGGTTTTGGTAAAGAGAAATTTGTCTTTATTCTCTTAATTTTTTGATTTCAAAATGCTGTACAAAGTAAGTCAGAATATTAACTCATTGATGGCAAAATTTCTTTGGGGGGAAGGATTAGAAAAGAGTCGAATTCATTGGGTGAATTGACAAATAATATGTCGACCGTTAGAATATGGAGGCCTGGGAGTTTTGGATATGAATATAGCTAATCGGGCTTTGCTGGGTAAATGGGTGTGGAAATTTGCAAACGAAAAAGATTCCTCATGGAAAAATATGATTTGCAGCAAACACAATGTCAACAATAAGTCCATGTCAATCAGCAAGGCAATTTCTCCTCAAGACTCATGGATTTGGAAAGGAATTGTTAATAGTTACTTGAAGAATGATTCGGTTGGAGCGTGTTTGAGATCCCTTTCTAGGATCCAAGTGGGGAATGGTAAGTCTATTTCCTTTTGGAATATGTTTGGGTAAATGATACACCTTTGAAAAATCAATTTCCCAAGATCTTTGCATTATCCTCCAATAAATGGGGAAATGTGGCTGAAATTGGTAGTTACGAATTGAATGGCTGGGAGTGGAATATTCAAACTAGGAGGAATTTATGTGATTGGGAATTGGACCAGTAGGTGAAATTAATGTCAATGTTTAATAGCATTAAACTGTCTGAATCAGGTGATGACTTTCTATCTTGGTCTGGGAAGGGTGATGGATTCTGGGGAAAATTATAATTGGAATAAGTGGGTCTGGTCGGGTTTGGCTCCTCCAAGAGTTGAAACCTTTCTTTGGCAAGTTTACCACAATAAATTGGCAGTTAGAATGGAGCTGAAGAAAAGGGGGTTCCCTTGGATGATGTTCTCTGTCCACTTTGCCATCAGCATGAAGAATCTGTGTAGCATCTTTTCATCTTGTGTTCTGTTGCCGGTGAACTTTGGAACAAATTATTCAGTTTCTGGGACGTCTCTACAACATTTCCCCGTGATCCTCCTACCCTTCTAAGTTCTTGGTCTGAATTAAGGGCTAATTCCTCCATATGGAAATTTATTACAAGAGTTGTTTTTTGGTCCATCTGGAAAGCCAAAAATTCAATTGTTTTCGATAATATGAAACTTGACAGGTCCTCCCACTTCTTCATTGTTAGATTTAGGTTGGCAAAATGGTATCTAGCCAAGTTCCCACACATTCCTATCCAGGCTGACATGCTGATTGGGGACCCCTCTCTTGCAGATAGGCTTCCTTGCCCTAAGATTCAATGTAGGCCGGTGCAAAGTTAGCTTCCCCCTCCAGTAGATTTTTTCGAAATAAATGTAGATGGGGCTATAAGGAAAGACGGGTTGGCTGGTGGAATCGGAGGTATTTTAAGAGACTCGAATAGCTCCACTTTAGCATCCTTTTCTGAAAGTGTTGGTCTTGGCCCTCCACCATTGGCCGAATTGAAAGCAATTTAAAAAGACATTGAGATTTTTCTCTCCTCAGTTTGGGCACATAAGGGAAGACTAATAGTAGAAAGTGTTTGAAAGTCAACAGTGGATTTGATTCTGTTGCCTACTACTGCTCCTTCCTTCTTTAGTACCCTAGTCATGGAAATTGTGTCCTTCGTATTAGCTAGGGCGTTTATTGTGAGATTGATTCTTAGGGGATGTAACTGGGAGGCTGATAAATTAGCTAAGGAGGGGATTGGGTGATTGTAATGGTATTTTCTAGGGAGCTTAATGTGTTTTTCTAGTCAGCTGCTGTCTATGGTGTATTCATTTACTCTTATGTAGTTCTGACATATCAATAAAATGAGGTACTCTTTTCCTCCTTCCGCTAGTTGCCTCATTATAAGAGTCAACTATAAGGGAGGTTTTTAATGAGGCCTCCTACTTATATCAAAAAAAAGAAATCGTACAGAAAGAAACCTACTTATATGCTGAATATATAGACCTACTAGGAATAAAACTTATCTGTCAGTCCTTTATCTTTAGATAAGATAAGCTAAGACTTATTTAAACTTTAGATAAGATAAGATAAGACAAGACTTGGAATATAACTTAACTACCGACTCCTACTAACAAGCAGAAATTAACAGTAAGTGAAACTACTAGTATTTACATGACTCCGACCTACATATGGGATTGAACAAGAGAAAGGGGGGATCTATGGTTTCTATCCACTTGACAATTATTTTATTTTATTCTGTCATTTTCATGTTGTATTCTAGGTTTTTAGATGCTGTACAAATCATATGTTATTATCTTCTTGTTTTTCTTTATGATTTTGTTTTGTACAGGGTATTGCTGTAATTTTCTATTTTGAACCTCACTTCTTTTCTACTTATCAATTTTTCTTAACCTATGTAATATATATATTCTGCTGTCCTCTCTGTTGTGCTGCATGCCCAAAAGAATACATTGATTCTTCAGTGTTTCGTATATAGAGAATTGGATTGTGGAATTGTTCCATGGATTAGACTTGTTTTTAACAAGGAATTAATTAATTAATAATTTCTCCTGCTGGATTGACAGGTCTCTGGAGATGCTTGTGGGTGTCAACCTGGCAGAAGAAGGTGTTTTAAGACTGCTTTTTGCTGCAGTTTATCTTATGTTTGGAAAAAATGGCAATGATAATGAGGTTTCTGCTGCATCAAGGTTAAGATTTTCTGACTATCATTCACTGGCTAGTATGGTCTTGCTGTTGTGTATTTGTTTTCTCATTGCAATGCAAATGGAAAACATAACTGCTTGTTATATTATTGATAACATGCACAATAGAAATATATGTTATAATTACAATGTTCTGCCTTTGTTTTATGTATTTTATACATGCTTTGGTCCTCATCCCCAAAGATGCACTAGGATAGTGTGTTGAAGGTGAAGATGCTTGGCGCTATGTTTGGATTGAGGGGAGAACAGGAAAGGGAAGGAGGTGGAATTAGGAACCCTTCCCCTTATGTAGGTAACTTAGGATTTAAAACAAGCATAAAGAAGAGATTGTCAACAACCCCCCATGTTGCTCAAAAGGCCTATATTTTAGTTCTCCCAAATCTGGGAAATGAGGTGAAAGGAAAAGGCTAAACTTTCTTTTATATTATAATGTCTATAATACCCTAATCACTTGCATTTAATTCCAAAGAGACCTTTCTCTAGCTTCCTCACCGTTTAACATCTTCCTTGACCGTTATTATTATCTTTTTCCTTCTTGAGCTTCATTGTCAACTTATTCTTAACCTTGCTTTGTACAATTTCATGGTCAATTCTTTTAGTTCTAAACATGTCTCCTTAGTATGTCTTGGCTTCCTACAGTAATCAGAGTGTAAATGATTCTTGTTTAATGGATCACGGTTACAAACTTTCTGCTGCTCAAGAAAGGAGTTGGGAACTAACCTTGCCTTGTAACAGAAACTGTGTACCTTTTGACTTTCTTGTTGCACATATTAATAGGTTTGACCTAAAAAATGCAAAGGGTTCTTACCAAGTACTTTTTTTTTATAGAAATGGGAGACCTCGTTAGAAACCCCCTTCATAACCTACGAAATATGGATATTTCATAGGACATTGGAAGGAGGAAAAGAGTGTCAAGATTTTATTGAAAATCCAAGATATTACAAAGAGGTAACAGCTAACACCAAACTGCTACCAAAAACATAACAGTACAAAACCCCCCAAAACTACTAATCTTTCCTACACTCAACCCCACTCATCCAATTCCCTCTTTTGCCAACTTATCAGCCTCCCAATTAGCCCCTGGAAATATGCCTAAACACCACATCCTTAGCCCTAATTAACTGTAAAATCTCATTCAACAACAAACTCAAAGAATTAGGACATCCACCCTGGTTCTTAATCCGATTAACCACAGCTAGGCAATCACACTCTACAATAAGTCTCCCTTTACTACCCCATTTAGAATCAATAAAAAGGTTCAAACCCCTTTTAACTGCCAACAATTCAGCAACTGTAGGGGGGGCCTGACCCACTGCCTCGGAGAAAGAAGCCAACAGCAAACCCCCTGAATCCTTAATAATATCGCCAATGCCCCCTTTCAACCAATCACCAGTGACAGCCCCATCGACATTCAATTTGAAGAATCCTGATGGAGGCGGAACCCAAACAGACCGAGATAACACCATACTCCTCTTTCTGCCACAATGATCCGCAACAGATGGATCCCCAATTAGACAATCGAACAACAAGGGAAAATCTGTGTTTTGCAGAAAACCTGGTCACCAGTCTATATCTTGCAAGGAAAAAATGATTAATCTGGTCCCTAGAACCCCCTTAAAAACTAATCGGTTCTTACCAAGTACTTGAACCCATATTTAATTACATTCCAAATTACCAACAAGAAAATCATGCACGTGTCCAATAATTTTTGGAATCTGCCGCGCCTTTGAAACATGCTGCACGCTTTATAGAGATCTTGGTAATGGTCAAGTTCCTTTCTAGAACACTTAATTCATCAAATTATTCAGCTATAGTCATCTCATGCACCTTATTTCTCAATTCATAAATTCTCACAGCATTTTCCCACTTGAGGATATGTTTGACATGCTGCATTCCGAATCTTAGATGCATTATTTAGTAGTAGATAACCTTGGGCAATTTGAATCTGCATGGATTTAATGAGCTATGCGTAGAAAGTGGTATTTGCAGAGAAGATTATTTTTCTGTATTTCTTGATATATTTTATTGATAAAAGTAGCACCTATTTATAGGTTACAAAGAGAGCCTAATCTAAGAAAAATTACACAAAATCAGCAGCTACATTATTGTTAAATCCCTAAATGTTAGCAGCTAGATATAATTCCCTTCCCCCCCCCCCCCCGGCAATATACACCAATCTACATCCTCCTTAAGCTGGTGAGTAAACTTAGTGAGACTTTTGGCATGAATTTTGGATGTATTCTCATCTCTTTGGCAGCGACTGTGCTGTCTCAAAGAGTAAAAAACCCTCCCTTATTTCGGGTGGCAGTTGAGTTCTCCCACAGTCATTGTTGATAATTTGCAGCTATTGTTGTTGGTTTCTGCACCCTACTGAGATGACTTCCTGCTTTCCTATGCCAGTGATGATCTTTTTCTGATTTCTGCATCTTCTTATGAGATGTCTTTTAGCTTTTTCTGGTTTCTACATCTTCTTCTGAGATGTCTTCTAGCTTTTTCTGTCATTCACGGACTGGATTGCTGCTGTCATTCAACTTATGGAATGTGGTTGACTTAACAACATATCTTCTCAAGGCTTAAATTTGAACTCCCTCTAGCATTTTTTAAGGCTTAACTAGAACCTCCTCCTCTAGTTTTTCTAGGGATGAACTAGAACCCTCTTCCTTCAGTTCTTTTTTTAGGCTAAACTAGGAACCTTCTTCTTTTAGTTTTTTTTTAAAGGCTAAACTAGGAACCCTCTTCCTTTAGTTTTTTTAAAGGCCAAACTAGGAACCCTCTTCCTTTTGTTTTTTTAAAAGGCTAAACTAGGAACCCTCCCCTTTGACAAGGTTGATTTAAGGCATCAGTTGTAATATCAAGACTGAAATTTGAGGTGGTTCCTGACTGGATTTCTGATGTGGAAGATGTAGGCATTTTGCTGGAAATTTTCTGACTTTCTTAGTTCTGATACCATGTAGAAAAGTGGTATGTGCAGAGAAGAAGATTATTTCTCTATATTTCTTGATATATTTTATTGATAAAAGTAGCACCTATTTATAGGTTACAAAGAGAGCCTAATCTAGGAAAAATTACACAAAATCAGCAGTTATATTATTGTTAAATCCTGAATGTTAGCAGGTAGATATAATTCCCTAAGTTTCCGCAATCTACGCTATGACATGATAAGAGAATTTCCAGATCCCCACTAGTTGTAAGTGGGATTTAGGACCTCTGGCTTTGTTTATCCTTAGTTACATATCCTTAGATGAATAAAAGGCAAGATCTTGGTCACTCAAGATAAATAGATTCATCTAGCTTAGCGGGATTAATTTCTAATAACATATTTCACTAATCAAACAACTTTTTTTCAGCATCGATTTCCCCTTTTTAGAGATTCTATGAAGAACTCATTGTTGAATGCCTAGTTTCAAAAGGCTTCTTATGGCTGTCAAGGTTTAACGGAGCAAATTGCCCTACTGTTGAGTGATAAAAAGTATAGCTCATTTAATCTATAGAAGCTCTAATACTTGAGAGAAATGACCAAGATAGAACTTTTTAGAAAAAAGCCAAGGGAGTTTTTGTTCTTCGTCATGTATATATATATGCTAACCCTAAAACTGCCCAAAAATTGGAAATCGTCATTTTTTTTAAACGGTACGAGATTCATTTAAATACTCAAGGCATCAAGAAGTATAAAGTTTTTGATACAATGAAGTTTATCATAGTAGAACCAAAGTAGATTGGTCATCGACAAGGCCCAATGCGCAAGTGTGAGCAAACCTTATTCGCCTCTCGCTTGGTGCAAGAGACCTTGAAGTTTGGGTGATGCGAAAGAGAATCGTGGACCTCGTTGAGTAATAATCCGGTAGTAGGATGTCTTCTTGACGATTTGCAAGGTGGTTGATAATGGAAATTGCATTTTATTGGAAAGGTGTGAGGTTAATTGGGGTCCAAAAATTTCAAACTGTTTAATTACATGATGGATGAGGAGGGAATTCAAGACATGATGGAATCAACGATCAAAGAGGTAAAGAAAGACGAGGAGGGGAATTGTGAATATTCTTAAGGGAGCAAAAATCTCTATTAAAAGCTGGTCCAACAATAGTCACATGAAGCTGTCGAGATCAATTCTGAACTTAGAAAAATCTATTCTCGAAATGGAGTCGACATAACAACAGGGGTTTGCTTCAATGTCAATGGTCTCCATTGTGAAAGCGAAAAAGGATTTGTGGGAGTTGTATAGAAAAGATGAACAAATCTGGTTTCAGAAGTCGTAAGCGAAATGGATTCAAGATGATGACCGGAACTCAAGATATTTTCACCAACGTGCTGCTAATAGGGGAAGGGTAAATGCTCTGAAGTTTTTGAAAGTGGATGGCAGAATTATTTCGGATTCGGATCAGATTAAATCGGGTGTTCTTGGGTATTTCAATGAGGCATATAACTTGAAGCCAACGTTAGATGTAGAAGATATGGACCTGGATTTTGCTACGCTAACGGACGATCAGGTTTCCTTTTTGGAGAGGAGGTTTTCGGAGGAGGAAATTTGGGAGGCAATTGCCTCGTCCGATAGCAATAAGGCACCAGGCTCGGATGGTTTGAAAATGAGTTTTCTTAAAAGATTTTGGACGTCTTTAAAGAAGGACATATTAGAGTTTTTTAATGATTTTTTTGTTGGAAAGAAGTGGGATAGAGGAGTGAATCATTCTTTTATCACACTAATTTCGAAGAAACCCAATCCGGTTGGTCTGGAGGACTTTAGGCCCATTACTTGGTTGGAGTATTATACAAGATCTTGTCTAAGGTGTTATCAAGAAAACTGAGGGAGTGTATTGATTCTCTGATTGGTCCTTCTCAGTTTGCTTTTGTTCCTGGAGGGCATATTCTTTATTGTTCTTTTATAGCAAAGGAGGGCATTAATTGTTGGAGGAAGAAAGGGTTGAAAGGTATTGCTTTTAAAGTGGATTTTAGGAGAGCATACGATTCAGTAGATTGGTTGACCTTGATGA